TTTTTTTTTTTTTTTTTTCCCTTTATCTACTAAAAAGTTCTCATACTTTTTGGAAACGTTTTAAGATGCGGGAAAATTGTCCATGCCCATCTATGGATGTAGTATCATGGATTGGAAAGGTATCGACGTTGGAAGGTCATCTACCATCCTCAATCTCCGGAAGTAGGGACTACTTATCCAATTTGGTATGAGCCCTGTTACTAATCTCGTCGAATTGATTTTGTCTCTGTGAGTTTTGGGGGCTGGAAAAGAAAGGATTGTTTCCATTGATTAAGCTGCTGTGGGGTCCTACGCCCACAAATGGGCTCTATTCTGACAATAGGAAACGGGTCGAGGAAGATCCGAATCCAAATCGGGCCTAATAGATTTGGCCCAACATAGTTATTCCATATGAGTTATTTATTTATTTAGAGACAAGGGGTGAATTAGTAAATTACAGCGTAATTTTTTAAAATAGGTAGGTTATAGTATAATTAATATCTTAGGTTTTAATCATTATTTAAAAATTTTAAAATACCCTTCTCTGTCTTCTTCCCACCTATGGTGTGGTCTACCATGACCGACATTAGCTCCGGCGACCAATAACTGACTCTAGTGATCGCTGACCGGCGCCAACGACCAATAAATACTGCATTTACCTGTGAACACTGTATTTACTGTGAATAATATATTTACCAGTAAACACCGTATTTATTAGTAAATACCCTATTTACTCGCAAATACCATAATTATATGAAAATCTAGCTGCCGCCGCTGATGACCGGTAAATACCGTATTTACTGATATATATCGTACTTACTCATAAATACCATATTTATTCAAAAATTTGGCTACCGGCGCTGACGACCATTTAATACAGTATTTACCTGTATTTACTCATATTTATCTGAGAACATGACCACTCGCATGACTGTTAAATACCGTATTTACCTATAAAAATCGTATTTACCAGAGATATTGTATTCACTCGTAAATACCATATTTACTCAGATATACCAGATTTATGTACTCGGAACTCCGGTCGCCGTGATAAACATCGTATTTACTAGAAAAAACCATATTTACATAATAATCTGACCGTCGACATCGGCGCCTGATAGATACGATATTTACTTGTAAATATTGTACTTCCCGAAAATCCAACTGTCGACGACGATCGCCGAAAGTTGGTAAAAATCCAGTCGCCGGCGATAAAATTTGCCATTATCATTGTTGAAAAAACATCATTTCTCAGGAAAAAAAAAACAATCAAATCTCCAAAACAACAACTAAACAACATCATTCACAACAAAGAAATCACAAACTCATATATTCCACACAAAAAAAAAAAAACAAACTCATATCTAACAATCATAAACTTAGACAAAATTTCAATAAAAACTCATATATAAAAAACAAAAACTCAGAAAAAAATTTGAAAAACACAAACTCAAAGAACCATCGTTGGTTCTGGCTGTGATCACCATCGAATGTTGTCCACAGTCTGTCGAGATCAGAGTCACGCTTGATAGAGAATCACTTGCACAAACGATCTGGTTCGAGGTCCCAACCAGAGAAGGTACCGATGATCGCGACGTTGTTTGTCAAAAACTCCCCTGCAATCGCTCATGTCAAAAGATTTTTGATGTCGTCCGTCTGACGCGATTCAGCGAAGAGGAAGGAGTAGAGGGAATGGGGCGATGTCGTCTTCATCGCGAGATTGGAGTTGCCAAGATTTGCTGCGTAGGTTACGGAGATCGCGACGACGGAGGTATATATATATATATGTCAAAGAAAAATTATGAAAATTAGCGATATTATATTCTTATCATACCGCGTCATCAAATTACTATATTTAATAGTAACTAGTGATAAAAACGTAACTATTGAAAACTTGTCCACAAGATAGACGGATGTGACATTATCAAAACTCAAAATAAATTTTGTTACATAATTATAAAATTCAGCATCATAGCTATTAATATCTCATGATAATAAACCAAACCCAAACTTAAAATTAACAAATTAAAGTTCAAAACTAAATCCGAACCCTACAAATACCAATCAATGTTCCCACAATTCAATCAAAAATAAAAAAATTAAAAAAATTAAAACACTAAACTTTGATTTTAGTTTCAATTCCAATTTAAATTCTAACTCCAATCTATACACTCAATTCAAATCACAAACTGTAATTGGTGAAGTGAACACGCCCTAAGAACATCATTCATCTTTGTTTAGTCACTCCATATCAACTTCATTATACATGTGCGTGCATGATTAGGTCCGGAAAAAATGAGAAACCTTCTCCACTCCGACTCCGCTCTCAACTCAGAATATTTTTCTCCGTATCGACCCCCAGTCATACCCAACCAACAAGGGGCCGGTACCTTCACGGCATTGCCTCTTTCATATCAGTCATTGTTATATATGAATTTCAACTTGTAGACTAGAGAACAACATAATATTCTTCCACGTGGATTAGCGTGGATCATTCGGTGGTTAATATTGGAATTACATATGAATGCCAAGCATAACATACACAAAGCATACGGAATGTATGATGCATCCATATATGTTGGTCATGTTCGCTTTGCGAGTTTAAATTGTGTGAATTAAAACTTATATGTAAGTTTTTTATGGTTTAAATCGACGTTTAATAGTGTAAGATTTAAATATGAAATAAAGTATGAACCATGTTTAGTTACATTATTATAATTATAGGTTTGAACCATGTTTAGTTACATTATTATAATTATAGGTTTTTAAAAAATGTAAGTAAAAGTGATTGATGAGAACTTTTGAGTTAGTTTTGTAAACGGTATTTTAGATTAGAACCCAATGATCTTTGAGGAGGACAGGAGGGGGTAAAGTGCTATAAAACCTTGAGTTAACACAAAACCTAAAAATCAATATGCAACTAAATATGCAACCAAAAGGGCTAAAAGATTTGGACTGCTTTTTCGAATTCAAACCCACAAGAACCCTCCAACCAAACGCCATGACTAAGTCGACTATAATCTCTCATTCACAAGTCAACTATTTTCTTAAGATAAGAGCCACAAACGGACACAAAATGATGATAAAATGGACCGTAAGGGCAAAGCTGGCGCCCGGCGGGCAGGTCCGGTCTTCCCTCGGCTTTCAATGATGGAGACGGCACGGTTCAATCTTTTGACGCGTAGAAACTACTGTGGGCCAATGCCATTATCAGACGAAATTTAATTTAGAACCCATTACTACTTGAAAAGGTTGGTTTAGTAGCTTTATTACCCAACAAAAAAACAAAAAAAAAAAAAGGGTTGTGTTTTTAGCTAAGATGTGAAAGAGACACATTATAGAGGTGCGCAATTCCGACCTTATCTTCAGGATTGAAATATAATATTTACTTCAACTTCCAGATTCCTGAAATGTGTCATTACGAAAGATACATTTATGCGAGCTGTTTTATCATTCTTTTTCGAAATGACTTTTTTTTTTTTTAATTCCTCATTTTATCACGTAATCTAATTCTCTGAAAAAACACAAAGATGACTAAGGGGAAAAAAAATTTGTTTCAAAAGTTGGTCACAACAACAATCCACGTGAAGAACATGTCACGAGATGCCAAAAAATTATTTCTTGGGCAACATCCCATGCCTTGCTGCTTCACACATATCAAGAAAGAAAAACTCCATATTTGTCTCATGGGCGTTGTCAATGGTGTAACTTTCACTTTCACTTTCAGTAGTGTAATACAACTTTGTGGGTATATGGCATCTATCGCAGTCAATACCAGATGGCATAAGAACTCTGAAATATCTCGAGTATCCTTTGTCTTACCTCAAATATCTGGCATGCAATGTATTATAGTATAAGCTCCTAGGCACACTTGCATAATATATCGAATCAAATCCCAATCCAAATCCCTTCCAGATATTTATGAGTTAAAACTAGACACACTTGCATAATTTATCGAATCAAATCCCAATCCAAATCCCTTCCAGATATTTATGAGTTAAAACACACGTAAAGAGAAATGTGCAAAAGAAATTTATTTATTTATTTATTTTAAGTTTCAAACACACTTATATGATATACCCTGCATGTGCAATTTTTGTCTTCTCAAGTTTTATACACCTTGTTTGTATTCTGTACTTCAGTTTAAGTCAATGTGCCAAATCTTATCCAAGAAAAAATATATATATATTTTTCATGCTGCAACAACAACAACAAGCATTAACTACAACTTAATTAAAATCGGCTATGTGAATTTTACTTTTTCACGCAGCTCTGTTTTTCATGAAATAAGTAACTACAACAACAACTACTTGTGCCAAAACCTCCCACTTCTAACTTCCAAGCACCTTATTTTGGTAAAGTTGAGTTATTCCAAGTGTCATGGCTAAAAGACACTACTTTGCGTCCAATTCTTTTCGCTCCACACATTGCTAACTATTTTGAATTAAACAATTGTAAAAACCTATGAAATGCTAGATGTCAAAACTTTCGGTGCAAATAAACCATAATGAATGTTAGTTTAGATAGATGTCAAAACTTTCTATAAATGGAATTGGCGAACAAGAATGTACCACATATTTGCCAAAACAGATTCTCGAGATACGCCAAACGTAATTACTAGAAATCCAATTTGAACTCAAGTAATTCTCGAAAACCCTTAACGAAGAATTGAGCAAGAATTATCTCATACATTATGCATGCTTATGCGTGCTATCTAATTAGTATCATCCAACAACCCTTAACGAAGAATTGAGCAAGAATTATCTCATACATTATGCATGCTTATGCGTGCTATCTAATTAGTATCATCCAACTGCTTATGTAACTAAGTTCGAGGTATTTGCCAAAACAGGTTTTTGATAAGTCGAACACTTCAAATTCAAGGCTAAAACAGGACTTACCATCATCCAAATTTGAACTCAAGTCATCCTCAAGAACCCTGAGCAAGAAACATCTCATAAAACATGCTTGTGTGCTGAATCAATCTTAGAAGTTTTCTTTTAAGAAATAATGACAGGAAAAAAGAAACAAAAAGAGTAAGATAACAGACTGAATCTGACTACAACTTACAAGTTACAACAAAGATGCATTAAATAGAGAGAGAAAAAAAAAAAAAAAAAACTCTAATTCAATCCATAGAACTTTGAAAAACATAAGCAAATCAGGTGGTATACCTTCTTCTTCTTGTTCAATAGCCACCTCTCAACGCCAAGTCGTCTTCTTTTTGAGGCGTCATACTTGCTGAGGCTTCTTTATCTTCAGCTTATTCTCTTTGGTTCATAGCCCCCAACAATTCAAAGGATCATCTAATAGCCCGATTTCGGAATCCAAAGGAGCATTTTGTTCTTCAATATTTACAGTGACTATTATAACTTTATCTTCTATTACACAATTCACCATCTCACAACTCCTCCACTATTTACTTCCATTGACCAAGTTCTACGCCTCCGTGGCCCATCCGTCGCGCCAGAATGCGCCAAAGACCGAACCCTTCTTGCAGGCCTTGACTCCGAGCTGGAGCTCGAATCGGAGCCAGAAGCCCGATTCCCACTGAAGCAAGCAAACAAATTGCGAAAAACCCGTCTCAATCCGCCTCTCTCTCGCCCTCTACTCCCTCTCGAAGACCACGATATTCTTCTAGGCAGACCGCCATTGTTAAACCCTCCATCCATTTCCGTATACACGACGGGAAGCTCTCTCTCTCCTCCTCTTCTCCCTCCAGAAAACCTCCCCACCGCGAATCCACCTCCCGGAAGCCTCCAAATCGTCAGCCCCACATTCTCTTCCTCGTTCGGAGTCAAAGGTTGGCCATTTTCAGGCTCCGACGAGTTCGGCGCATCCGCAGGCAGCTCATGGCGACAAACAGGGCAAGAATTGTGAAGCGAAAGCCAAGGGAGAATACATTCCGGGTGGTATATGTGCTTACAAGGCATTTCTCGAGCTTCTGTTCCCAATTCGAAAGGCTCTTTGCAAACGGCGCAGTGCGATTCCGTGCTTATGTGAGAATCATCGATTTCGATTGTCGGCATCGATTCGATCGCGGCTTTCGACGCCGGAGGCTGTTCCAACCGTCCGATTCCGTTGATCTCGATCTGCGAGAGCTGCTCCAGAAGGCGGTCAAACCCCGACCCTAACAAGAACTCCGACATGCTCGCCGGCAGAGGCCTCAAGCCGGACCCACCGCCGTCGTCGTAGTAAAGCTCAAACCCTCGCCCCTCACCTTCCCCTCCGCCGCCGCCTCCGTCTGGAGATCCTCGGAGCACGATCACCGGGTTGAAAGGAGACCGATCGCCGCCGTTCCTCCTCGTTCTCCTGAGGATCGGACCGGAATCGTTCCGATCCGAGCTGGAAGGTGCGTTACGCTGAGCAGCCCCGATCATGTACATCGCGGCCGCGGGGAATCTCCTCCGCCGCGGGCCGCCGACGTGGACTGCAGGCTGCGGCGGGTTCTCGATCTCCTCCACGAATCCGCCGTCGCAGTCCGGGCACACCACCGCGTCGTCGTTCCAAACCCTAACGAATCGGCTGCATCTATAACACCAATAAGACGACCTCGCCGAAGACATCTATCTATCAATGGAAGAAGAAAAATCAACCAACCAAACCTGAAATTCTCTTAGAACTTCGATCTGATTCTTCACCGATTGGATTTCAGAAACCTTCTCTGGCAAAATAGACAACACTCTCCGACGAAAGGAGGAGAGAGAAAGAAGAGAAAAGACAGAGAGAGAGAAGAGAGGCGTTTGGTAGACGGCAAAATGAAGAGCCTCGCAATTTCCTGGAAAGTTTTTCCTTTTTCTTGTCCTTTTCCTTTTTTTTTCCTTTTCTTTTTCTTTTTCTTTCTCAGTGGGGGTCAAATTTGTATGGATGTCAGTAAAAAATGGAGGTGAGAGGAATTTTATATTATTAATTATATTATATAAAATTAAACAATATATAGAAATTAGGTAGGAGAGATGTTAACGGCAAATCCGCGTTGTCATATGTTAGCGTGATATGAACGCTGTCGTATCCTGTCCACGTGGTGAATTCTTATTCGTTGGAGCACATAACGACTCTCCGTAGGCGTTAACGTTTTGAATAAGAATAAGCTCGGTGCCCCTCACCACTTGCGTGGCCTCCACGTGGCTACCCACTTGGCCCCACACCATATGTGGACTATTGTTTTTTCTTTTTTCTCGGACAACTGTTGTTTCAGAACTGGCCCATATAATTCTCGTGAGAGGTTTGATTTATAAGTTTAGAATTATGATTTATAATTTTAATTTTTAAAATTTAAATTTTTTTATATTAAAAAAATATTATATAGAATTAAAAATTATAATTTAAAATTAATAAGGAACTCTTAAAACAAACATTTTTTTATTAGTGATTTTAAAATGCGTAGGATTGTTGCGGCCTCTAGTTGTCCTACTCCGTCTATGGTTGTTCGACAAAGGGAAGTACCTCCTGAAGTTAAAACACAGACGCAGCTGTCCGTGAAGGTGCGGAGTTTATTGGCGTGGCCGGGGGCAGTTGTTCGCGATCACACAGGTTCTGTAATAGCTTGTTTGTCCAAAAAAGTCTGGAAGTTTTTCCCCCTTTATGGCAGATTGCATTGCTCTTAGAGAAGGCCTGACTTTTGCCCATAGCTGTAGGTTACGGATTATGGTTGCGGAAATTGATGTTATCTGAGTAATCTAAGGCTGCGTTTGGTTGGGGAATGGAATGGAAAGGAAAAGCCATTCCACCTAATTCTAATGTTTGGTTTCATTTTTTAGGTTAGAAAAGGAAAGCCCATTCAGTCATTTTGAGTGAATTGGCATTCACGTGGGGGGCTGTGGAATTACTTTTCCATTCAGCCCTGATTCACATTTTCTCCAAAACCTCCCTGCCCTAGCCCCCATTTCTTGCTCGACCACCGAGCTCCAGCCATTGACCATCGACCTCCAGAGCACTCCTCCCCCGCTTCCTTTTTTTTTTCTTCTTCTCGATCTCCGGCAAGAGAGGTTTGGCTCGATTCTTCTCGATCTCCGGTGAGTATCCAAGAGGTTTGGCTCCGATCGAAACGAAGAAGTTCTCGCGCGGCTCGATTCTTGGCTCGCTTCGTTGCTGCTGCTTCTCGGATCTTCACCGGTGCCTCACCGCTACTGCTTCTTGGATCTTCACCGGCATGAAGACGAGGTACTATTTCATCGAACTCCTGTTTGCTGTCGTCTTTCTTTTTATTATCATTTGACAGAGGAAATGTTCATACTTTCTTCAATTTGCTGCTTCTTTTTGGTAAAATTTCCAGATATTTAACACAGCTTTGATTGGTTTCTGGAAATTTGATTGGTTTTTATGAGATTAGTGGAAAACCCAACAATAGCCCTCTAGTTTGAAGCCTGTTGTTTCACCAAAAAAATGGACTACTGCAGAACTAGGACTTAGATCACGCTCCATAATATCGCTCCTCTCCACCCCGTCAAATTCCATCAAATTTTGTTTTCCCGCCATTGATATTCAGTAGCTTGGTAATCCCTGTAGTCCTTGCTCTAGCAATTGCTAGCATTGTTCTTTTTCTCTAATATTTGAATTTTCACTGGCTCTCGTTCAAACAATTTTGGAGACATTAATTTCTTATACAATTTTGAACATGAAGTCGATTAAAGAAAACAGGAGATTTTTCAGTTTAATCATGGTTAACATTCTTTTTTTTTCTTAAACTCGTGTTCTGTTACTGGACCGAATCTCAAAGAAACTTTTCTATCAAAACTAGTTCATAAGTTATTAAGTTTGCTTAAAAAGTCAAGTGTCTTGGACAAATTTATGTTTAAAGCAAGAAGTAAATTACCTGATGAGGAAAATGGTTGTAAGTGTACACTTTTTTTTTTTTACGAGACAATTGAAACTGTTATGAGACATGTGACTTTGCTTTGATGCAACATTGCAAAGCTTCCTAGGGAGCACCTCAAGCAGCCAAACAGTTGCAACAAAAATAGTCACAATACAAGACTATAGTTATGTAGAGGAAGTTGTCAAAGATGTGTCATTTGGGTCGTTTTGTTTTTGTTAAGTTTGAGGTTTTAGATTCTAGGGTTATGTTGGCGAACCGCATTTGAAAGGGAACATTTTTGCCTGGACGACATTGCTTGAATAATTGAATCCAGATGTTTTATGGGGTTTGTCCTGGGTTATTAACACTATTTTTGCATGAATTATGAGTGTTGTATCACTTAGATTCCTGAACTTTTTATTTTGACAATGTAACTCCTGACTTTTTTTTTAGAGACAACTGAATATTATGCATGTAGTTGATTATTCTTAACTTTGGAAACGGTGTCAACCTCCGTTCAAGTGTGTCATCCTTTTGGTTGTTTTATTGTAGGATAATGGCTCGCTTAGGATTAGCCAAGAGTGAAAGTTTGAGAAAGAGGAAGATAGTTGCTTTGCTTTTACATTGGTTGAATATTATGCATGTAGTGCAATGGTTCTTTCAATTGATGTAAAGAGTGGTGATGGAGGATATAGCCGTGCGGACTACAGAGACAACTTTATGTGTTTGACGTGTTTGTTCATAGGCAATGTGTTCATCAACTAGCTTACGCAAGTGATGTCATATTTTTCATGGAACATATCATGATAGATGTCAAAAGTTATCATATTTCAGCTTGTGATATTTTATTATTACATAAAAATATTAAATATTATTTTTTTACAATTGAAATATAGTTTTTAAATTATCATCCTTCAAATAAAAAGTTTTTTTCAATAATTAAATTATTATTTTTACTATTTTAATTAATTAAAATATTAAATTACATAGGATTATTAATCAAGGGTATTTTTGTCAAAATACAGTTTATTTTTATTCCATTCCGTTGTCAACTAAACAGCATAATCCTCATTCAGGTATTAATTCCATAACTCCAATCAAACAAAAGAATCAGTTTATGATTCCAACACATTTCAATTTCATTCCATTACTATTCTCATTACTATTCCTATTACCATTTCGTCACTGTAACCAAATGCACCCTAAGAGCGATCAAGCGAGGTTTTTCTCTGGTAGAAGAATGTGTGCTTATAGAAAGATATATTAGGCGCGTTTAGAACTCATTTCAAAATAATTTTATTTTTTGTATGAAAATAAAAATGAAAACGTTTTCAATCTCAGACAGAAATCATTTTTAAAAATACGTTTGGTAGTTTTATTAACTATTAAGAGATTGTTTTCAATGTAAGAAAACCTATTAATGTCTCTCTTTATCTCTCTGCTCGAGAGGAGAAAATGAAAACAAAAAATGAAAAATGACTAAAAGTCATTTTTTTCTGCTCGAGGGGAGAAAATGAAAACAAAAAATGAAAAAATGACTAAAAGTCATTTTTCATTTCTCTCTCATTTTACACTAAATTAAAAAATCGTTTTGATTTCTGTTTTTTGTCTTTATTGCGCCAAACACCGTTTTAAAAACGTTTTCATTTTTTCTTTCTCAAAAAACTTAAAAAATGAAAACGGAATCAATTTCAAATACGACCATTGTACCTGTTGTCTAATGTTTCGGATTGGATTTGTAGTCATGTCTTTGGAACATGCAATTCGGTTGCCCATATCTTGGCATCTTGTGCGTTTCACTCAGTGTTACGTATTGTCCAATCTGAGGACCCGTTTAATTCGCTGATTCGAGTTTTTAATTCGAGTTGAGATGTGATTTTATGTGAGAGTTTTTTACTGTAACAAAAAAGTTAGATGTGATTGTTTGTGAGAGTTTTTTACTGTAGCAAAACTCGAATCAGCGAAATGAACGGGGCCTGAGGCTATTCCTCGCTTTGTTTCTCACTTTTATTTTCGCTGACTTGGCCTAATAAAAGTTATAGGTTTTCCTTAAAAAAAATTAAGTTTAACCCATCATCTTTCAACTCTTTTTCTTCCTTCTCTCTTCTTCCTCCTCCCTTTCATCTACTCAATTGCGGAGCCAAGAAATTTATCTAGAGGGTGTAGTGAAGCCAAAATTTAGTGCTAAAATTACAAAGCAATTATATTTTCTTGACTTTTTCTATCATTTTGCATTCATTTTATCTATTTTATTATCTTTTTATTTTTCTTCCAAATGAACAAGTTTGTAATAGAATTTAATATACTTTTTTAAAATTTTGTCCTAAAACATATAAGTTTGACACAGTACTATAGTTGATTTTGATTTATTTGGGGCTTTAGTTGGGTTGTAATAGAAATAGTGAAAAAAAAACTTTTTAAAGGGTACAATAGTTCTACCACTCAGTCTACTCACCATTCAACAACTCCAACTCATAGCTTGAAACAAAAAATAAAGTGAGTTTTGTTATTAAAATAAAAAAGGACTGAGATGCTATATTATAAGATTAGTTTATATATACATATATATAGATATAGATATATCTATATAATATTCTAGTAAAAAATTGTCGGGGTCCGGTAGATTCGGAGAGTATGACATGGCGAGGGTATGCACGTGTAAGTATCTGACTCGTTAGTGACGGTTCCAATATGGCTAGAACACTTAATGGGTCTTCAAAGTAGACAGCAATGGTAGGACATCTGACGGTGGTGTGGTTCGCTTAGGCTCAAATAAGGTGAAGAACACGTGTTTTAGGACCCTCTTGGTGCCAAAATCACGAAAATGTTCTTGCAAAAAATGTTAGAAAATCTAAAAAAATAATAATGAAGAACTTCACGAATGAAGAGTGGGAAGAGTGATCACGTAGTTGATGGAGGGGTGACTCGAGAGATGGTAAAGGCTTTTTGATTTAAAAGGGCTCCTAAAGCAGTTTTTGAGCGATTTTGGAGGCTTTGAATATGTAGCTTTGCTAGAGGATAAGGCGCTGATGTAGAAAAATGATACGAGGGAGT